CACAAAGACCAACCTGTTTTGGTCAAAACAGTTCAGTGAAGGGTGGAGCGGCGAAAAGACACACGTCTGTCTCAAAACATACCATCTTTCTAACCTTTTGTGAAAATTGTAACTACTCCCGCAGCCGAAGAGTTTTAATCTCTGCTATTAATTATTTACGGATACTGTCAGCCCTTACATAGGGCTATTACAGGAGTGGAAAAAGAAGTACATAAAAACATAGCAATCCTTCTAAGAATAGAACATAGTTAACATATATAATCAGAAGCAACAAATTAGAGGACAATAATGAAGTCATAAAAAAACAACTAAAAACGCAACCAAGAACTGAATCATTGAATCCACTAAAGCATGCTTAGACAAATAAAGCATTATTAATTACAAACGAGGATATGTGCTAGGTGTTTTAAAAACATATCTATGGATGAGCTTGAAACGGCTTCATCGCTCAATGAATTCCATTCATTGATAGCTCTTGGGAAAGAGCTATACTTAAAATAATCGGTGGAAACAGCAAGTGCAGGAATAAACATTGAATGGCGATGTCTAGAAGTATCAGTATGAAAAATATCAAAATATTCAGCATACCTTATATGAAAATGATCATGAATAATGAGGTAAAGATACTTAAGTATTTCGTGTTTTGTCCTAGCTGGAATCGTGGGTAGTTCCACTAGTACACACCGTTGAGATGGGGAATCTGTCCACCGATATTTAATAAATATAAACCTGACTGTTAAACGCTGAATTTTTTCACTTTTTGATATCTTTGTAGCCGTGAATGGATCTCAGACAATTTTTGCTTGTTCAATTATTGGTCTAATAAGCGTTTTGTAAGCTAAAAATTTCGTTTCTTGTGTCGCAAACGGCAAATGGTGCGTAAGACTCCATAGGACCATAGCGGCTTTTGCGCACACATAATCTATGTGAATATACATACTGTGAGTGTATTTAGCATGCCCTTCAGTTTTGTATCGTAGTATAATACCTCGATATAAAATTTATTGCAATTAACTGTAGGCCGCTAACATAAGAATAACAAAACTCGTGCTATTACAAGTCTAACTTAGTGATGGATTAATTTTTATGGAGCTGACACCACAGCTAGAATTTCATTCAGAAATACGAGAGTGAAGTTTTGAAATTCTAGTGGAAAATAAGCACCCCCAGAGCGAAAAGAAAAGGTCATTACTGAGATTTTGTTTTGAATGCGAAACGTCAGTCGTAATGACAGCGTTTGTCGCTCGATTTATTAAAGTACCTTCTGATGTTGCATTCATTATATTAAAGGATTGATACCCGCCTTACTTGGTGTAAATCTTACAATGGTTTATTGTGAATAGGTGGCCCTTTTTTTGATGCCATATTTCAATGATTAATCACAGTCCGAACGAGGAACGAGAACTAAATTATGTGAACGAGGGGCGCAGTCAGAATTTTGTTTCTGGCAAGTGGCACTTTTATCTTTTTTTCCTTTACATAACCACCTAGAGAGCGAGAGGTGGGGCATCAGACCATTTTATATGTATGTACTTGCCTAATAAATGCTTGATTCTGGTGTTATTTGAAGTGGTCTGCAAATTAAAGTCAATACTTTACCGATTCGAGCAAGAATGAAAAGGTTGGCTACTTAATGCTAATCAAGTGGTGCTTAGTAATGAAAAGAATACAGGTTCCATGTCCAAACGACTAACTCTGATATGAAGCAAGTAAACGAGCACAATTTTCGTTTTCTTTTTTTTTTTAATCTTTGTCTGAGTTAGCTGAGACACCTATTATTTACACATATAGACTTAGCCGTATGCAAAAAAAGGGCTGCCCTGCCCTCCCCTACATCATTTTATATAGTTCTCGAATATAACATAGACGGCTAAATGAATATTGCTTATAATCTTTCTATAGGAGCTTCATTAATATACTTGTGCTGCCGATTTTTCTGCCTTGCTTGTGATAGTGGATAGGTGGTATTATGTTTGCTGGGTAAGACAGCAATACCCCTGAGGTAGATAGAAGCGAATAAAGCTTCGCTGTCAAATGCGTTCTACCGATCTTCAGATATTAATTCATGTTCTTATTTCTTGCACGCTACAGGCGTATTGCAAGGAAGTGTAAACATTTGTCTAGGTGATTCCTGAAGTTTCGTCTTAGGATTAGCCCCAAACATTCCTGCTTGTATAATTTTTTTTCTTGTGAATATTTTCCCAAAAATTTCTGGCAGCCTCTTAATTATCCGGGGAAGCTGCGGGCTTTAACGTGAAAGGCACCACAATCTTCCTTCAATTCTAATCATATGAGACGAAACTTAATTTGCGAAGACCCCGTGCTAGGCCCTTTAGGTGGCGCAAAAACCCCAGACATGAACCAGCTGCGAAGGTTTGGAACTATACACCACACTCAAAAAAGCCGCAGCTTCACGTTTTCGCTAGCCCAAACGCACGGCTTGCCATATACGAAGCGAAGGCTTCGACACTATGAAGACAACACGGCCTTGTGCGCGGATTGTAAGCTCCTAAGAGATGGACGTCTAGATAAGGTATGTGACCGCACCCATCTAATGTTACGTGAAAGGTTGTATGGTTGGGATGCTGCCAAAGGCGGGGTTTGAGTGGCCTGTCAGAATAGACGGTTTGGTTTTGTGAAAGCTAGCGCAACACATACGCAGTTATAAAAATAAAAAGAGAAAGATCGACACAGTGGCCCGGCAATGCATCGTTCTCCTTCTTCCCTGCTGCGTCTTCTAAGACATTTATCATGCGAAAACTAGGGCACTGACGCAAACACTCAATATACATCACCGCATGCATTCTGATGTACACATTTCTGAGATACCGCGGCTGTCAAATGGACAGAGTGACTGCTTATTTCGGTATCCGCGCTTCACCCGATCACAGTTTGCACATGTGTGTTTCAAGTTTCTATCGATATGTGGGGTGCAACGCCCCCAAATCACCATATGATTATGAGAGACGCCGTAGTGGAAGGCCCCGGAAATTTTGATCAGCTGGGGTTCTATATCGTGCGCACAAATCGGAGCACAAGAGCCTACAGCATTTTCACCTCCATCGAAAATGCAGCCACCACCGCCGGGATTCGATCCCGCTACCTGCGATTCAGCAGCCGAGTACCTTAGCCACTATACCACTGCGATAGCCTCCTCTTTTGTGTCATTATCGCCATTAATGTGGCATCAAAATGAAACTAAACACAACATATATGTCATGGTCTATAGCACATTTTTTTACGAATCTCAGGACCGCTTTTATACAACGCTCGCTGATCACTGGAACAACAATAAAACTACTACCCAAGGTTAAAACATTCGTGCTGACTTGATCTAACACAATAGAAACTGAATAATTGCATTCCTTATATCAGACGGTCTAGTGAAATTTTTGATGGCTCACCTTTACTTGTCTCATATTAATGTTTCCTCTTTGTGAGCAGGATATTTATGTTTCGTTTCACTACGTCTTCATATGGAACATTGGCACAGATAACAATCTTTAATGTATCTCTCGGAAATGTTAGCCGAATTTATCTGCATTGCATTATGACCAATGTTTGTTGCTCAGGGACCGCCGTAGTGGCCGAGATCACCAACCGCGCAGTAAGTTGGCTTTGAGCAAACCAGATGATTCAAAATCAAGAATATCTCCTTCTGCGAGAGATCATATATCTCCGACACTCAATTGACCCAAACAATGTTTCTACCAAGCTTGGGCATTAGCCTCAAGGCCTCCGTATTGGCGCCGAACGCCACAAGGATGCATTTGAAGTAATGTACAATTTTAACAGTTCGTACTTTTATTATCAGCTGTGCGCGTTAGGTAATTGTCCGTTATTTTCTTCTTGATCACTGCGGGGCTTTTTTTATAATGCGTGATATCTTTCAGTTTTACAATTTTATGCCTTCTTTCTTGCCTTCTTGCTTTCAGTCAGGTCTTCTTTTCATATTATAACAGTGCAGGCACCTAAATTTGTGTGCACCATTAGCCAAAAAGAAGCAGTGTCATCACCATATGTGATATATTTTGTATTACAAATAATAATAATGACGCTTTTAATACTTAAAACGACAAACTGGTCAGCTACACTCTATTGTAGAGTCGAAGAAACTACTCTAGCAATTGACGTTTGACAGTAAGTTATTTGTTTCAATCACATAATGACACTTGAGTAAATACGGCAACCCTGAAAACCACAGAAATCACCTTATTAGAGCAAAACGGTAGACGTCCTTGCATTAAAATTCATAAATATTTATGCGCAACTGCAAATGTATGCTTTCTGTTCAAGTAGGATGAATTTTGTCCTTTCTTTTTCACAGCGGCCATGTGCCGTATGAAAGAAAGAGGTCTGCCACATATCTTAAAAACAACGCCTGTATATTTTTTTTTCTTCTCCTCGCTTTTTCTTATTTTTTCTCACTCGTGCTTGTCACCTATCGTATTTCCGGTAACACGGAATATTTTTACAATACTTCGATGTAACACTGGGCAGCTGGTAAATATTCAACGAAATCATTCAGAACTAGGAACCGGCACGAAACTCGTGTCGTGGGCGAATAATTGCAGGCCTGTGCGTAATGTTTTAATGGAATACTGAGTGCGGATTCTCTTTTTTTACTGTTTCGCTAATCTCATACCAGTAACGCTCTTCGTTCGCTGCGCCCGCCGTCGCGTCATGCATGCGCTTGTCAACAGCGAGCCGCTCGGGAAGCAAGTGGCCACGTCTGGAGAATAAGTGACTTTTGAAAGGGGAAAAGGAAGAAACAAGTGCAGTTCCGTTACTGCCTCTCTCTCAATGGAGGGCACCTCCACAGTTCTGCGCAGCGTATAGAGAAAGCCCGTACCTGTGGACAGACAGCGTGCCAGAGCTGGCCGAGACGGCGTATCTCGCGCGCGCGCGCGCCCCGGTTTTTATAGGGGGTGTCCCGAGAGGGTGGGCGCGCGGATACGGTCGAGCGTCGGGCCGTCCTCTCCCCGTGACGCGAGACTCACCAAGGACGTCTGGTCCACCGACGGCGTTCTCCCACGCGACCACGACCTCTGGGTGGCACAAGAGGAGGCGCACACGCGCCCTGCTCTCGCCACGCGCGGCTCTGGTCCGTACCGGTTCTGAGGTCGCGCTCCCGAGACACGAGCGACCATCGGTATAAACACACGCTGATCGGAGGAAGCGAAAGCGAACCCTCGCCCCAGTATTGGGTTAGGCTCTTCCGTGGGCTCGCCTTTCCTTATTTACGCCGGCTCGCGCGGGGAAAGCTCCGTTGAGCTCCTTTCGCAAAAGCGGCGGTAAGAGGCGGCAATGTTTTGAGAAACTCTAGCTGCTGTGCGTCACAAGCGGCGAGGAGTTCCTGTTCCGTCCTACTTTCCCCGTCGCTTCTGTTTCGATCAGTAGCTACACGACGCTGGGTCGACGGTTGTTCGATCGCACTATGAATCTGAATGTTCCACGGTTTGATATACAGAAAACTGAAATTCAGCGCGACGTAAAAAAATAGGACAAAAGATTTGATTGGTGGATATGAGGGGTTTAACGTGCACAAACTACCATATGGTTATGAGACGCCGTAGTGGAGGGCTCCGGAAATTTTGACCACCTGGAGTTCTTTAACGAGCACCCAAATCTGAGCACACGGGCCTATAGCATTTTCACCTTCGCCGAAAATACAGCCACCGCAGCCGGGATTTGATCCCGCGACCTGAGGGTCAGCAGCCGAGTACCTTAGCCACTAGACCCCCGCGACGAGGCAATCGAACAAAAGCCGAAAGAACGTACTTGTCGCCGTAAATAACGAAATGAAATCGAAAACGGGGAAATCCGTGCACATTTGCCATTTTTCCTGTTATTGTGTCGGTATATAATCAAACAGAGGAGGTACAGTTTCGGAAATCTTGTAGTAACATGACTCCAACAGCCTGGAGCGTTAAGGCAAATCTTCGCGCACATGCAATAACGGTGTTTTCGGTCACTTCTTCCTTGATCCACTTTTTTCTCCTATTTAAAAAGAGACGTCACAGAAAAGCGCTTTCTGTGGTGGAACAAAACACTCCTGACGCCATTGCGTTCACGTAACCATGAAGATACTCAGTAAGCCGGCAAGAAGGTGATCTGGTTGGGTGAACACTCTACGTGAGCGCACTAATTGCACTGGAACCGAAGCAGCGGACGCTCTCGCACGTGTGGCACACGGTGCGAAAACAACCTAAGCTTGCTGGCTCTCGCATTTAAGTCTAGCACAAGAGCAGTGACCGAAGTGATTTTTAAAACACCGCTCATAGAGGTGACACCTATTTCCACAGTGAATGCTGTCTCTATACAGTCACATGAGGAGACGGCAGTGCTGAACAAAAAAAAAATAAAACCATTAAGACCTCTTTAATTCCCGATGAAGCCGCGGCGATCTAGTTTCTTCAAAACAACATTACCTGAATAAATAAACAACTTCCTGCTTTCTTTATCTCTTTCTTCTTCGGCCATTTTCTTGTGTTTCCCTTTCTTACGTCATACGGCTTTAAGTAAAACCGCATAAGTAGAGAGCGACTTGGCGTGAAGCCACCCTGCCGTGGTGGTCTAGTGGCTAAGGTACCCAACTGCTGACCCGCAGGTCGCGGGATCGAATCCCGGCTGCGGCAGCTGCATTTCCGATGGAGGCGGAAATGTTGTAGGCCCGTGTGCTGAGATTTGGGTGCACGTTAAAGAACCCCAGGGGGTCGAAATTTCCGGAGCCCTCCACTATGGCGTCGCTCATAATCATATGGTGGTTTTGGGACGTTAAACCCCACATATCAATCAATCATCAATCAACTTGTCATAAAGCCCGCTAGAGCGACTGGGGCGCATAAATATGTGATTTCTATATGCCATCCTACCATGGTGACGCGTGCTGGCAAAAGCAGAATTGTATGGTTATTGCGCACATATCCTTGAGCAAGCTTCGGTGAATGAGCTGTTTGCCCTTAAAGTCGCAAAGAAGTCGTGTAGTCCTAGCCGTATTATGCGTATTTTTGCCAGCTTGCTCTCCCTCTTTCGTGGCATTCTCAACCAGGAAAAGGGGAAAGCCCAGAGGTGTTCATAACACACCTGTATATTATGAATCAAACAGGTTCAGGGCACGAAGTGATTTGTATCGGACTATCACTTCCTTCGTGTGGGCTATATGTCTACCCCATTTATTTATTTCTGACTGTACAGTCCAATGGGCCATCGAAGCAGCTGAAAGGCTAGGTCTTTCGGTCCCAACGTGGGACACGGCCCACTTTGGGCTACTAGTTCGACTTATTGAACATTAATGAAGTTTTTTCATAATTATGGCTTTCTTGTGTGGCTATCTCGCCTGCATAGGTGTACGAGAGAAAATGCATTCAACTGATGAATAATGAACGGCACTCCTCGATTCACATACGTCGTATGCCGACTGGAGAAACCTCCACGGTGGCGTTCGATTTTCCCCTCTGATATCATGCCAGGGATACTGGGAGACTGCATGCCGCATGGTCTGAATCCTCGCAACGCAGAAGATCGCCGCTAGCCGGGCTGCCGACGTCATGGGCTTACACTAACGATGAACGTTTGAGTGTGGCGTGGTCGCGTGGTGACTCAGCGGGTTCAGGAGGTACAAAATTTTCTCGTAATAAATTTTTTTTCGACACGACTTGACTCCCACCCCATCGAAAACGAAGGTTTTGCACTTCTAATAAATAAGAACCACACCACACGCTCGTTGTCTCACATTGCAGGGGGACAAACCATATACACACTCGGTTTCACGGTGACAGCGTTGCAATGCCTCAACAGATCTTTATTGTGCATCTTTTGTTTATTTGGGTATGCTGACAGGTACAATCACCCATTCAAAAGTATGTTCGTGTGCCAGGAATAGGGTCTTGATTGCTCCTCTTTTTTTTATTTCTGCGCAGGTTGTCCCACCCATCAGATGCCCCCTAGTGTTCTACATGCCACAAGAATTCTTTCACGCAACGTTGCATCAGCTGAAGCTATACTTCCTACCACTAACGTCTTCCATAACAATCTTAGAATGTTTGTTCACTGAAGGTCTTGAAGCGCACGATCCGGTGACCATTGCACAATGGCCGATATATGTAGCAATAAAGCGCTGTTCAAGCTTCCATTCAAGCTTCCATGTACCGAACGAGTGTACTGGCTTGTTCTTCACGTTGCGACCTCAAAAAAATGGCTACGACTAGCCCACTGTTAAGACCTCTGTACTTGAAAAGAAAAAAAAAAGGTAAGCCTATTTTCTTATACCCAGATTTGCGGTTATATTTTGATAATATCTGCGGTTTTACGTCACAAAACTACAATATCATTATATGGGATGCCTTAGTGGGCGGTTCCAGAAATTTCGACCATGTGGTGTTCCTTAGCGTGCACTGACATCGCACAGTAGACGGGCCTCTGGCATTTCGCCTCCATTTAAATGTGGCCGCCGCGGCCGATGTCGAACCCACGACCTGCGAGTCAGCGGCCGAACCCCATAACCTCTGCTCCACTGCAGCTGACTAATGCCAAGTTTCTGACGTCTCTTTATAGCTCATGACGCTCCTGTTCATGTGAAATATTTTAAATTTTATTAAATCTCAATGTGCAGTCTTTCGATCAGTTACCTCTCCTGCTTCATCCCGGCAAATCAACTAAGTGGTACTGATCCATCAAGTATACTGGTTCCCTTTTGATACGAGTTTCTCACGAATTTCTACAACAGTATTCTCATGATTACTTTCTGAAACCTGCAATAAGCAGCCATGTTTTAGTATTTTATACTTGCACTACAACTCATGAGCTTAAGTTATTTAAGTGTGCCCTGCCACTCGAAGTGTCGTCCAAATCAAATTAAAAATAACAATAAACGTAGACGTTGAAGTTATTTTATCGAAATCACAATATCTGGATAAGTAAATAACTGAATAAATAAACGCAGAAGCTAGTACACATGAGGTCAAGCCGGCGTCGTGTGAGAACTACTACACAAACTTGAAAGTTGGCAGAACGTCGCCTGGGCGGCGATAGGTCAGTACATGCGGCCAGTGAAATTATAGCATGCTCTATACGGTATATATTTCTACCCTCTGATTAACCTTTTCCTAATTACAGGACCGGAAAGTGAGCACAGAGGTAAAAAAAAAGAAAAAGAAGAATGAGGTGAAGAGCGTGTATCAAATAATCACGAAGACGCAGACAGGAAACAGGTCCCCTAATTCATGACACGTATAACGCTACAAATCATCTAAGGCGAGAGCTGTAGATACCGCATGAAACACGAATAGTGACCGTTGGCGTCAGCGTCAGCGACCTCATGATAAACATCATCTATGACGTGTTGCGATTACCTATTACGCCACTATCACGTCACATGATGACTTCATCACTTGGCTTCGTTGCTCATGGTGAGGCAATCATCGAGGTAATCTGATCATGGAGGCACTACGAAACCACGTGAGGTACGGAAATTCTTCTATTCCCCTAATCCTGGAAGCCGTGCGAAACCCTGTTGGGTGCGCTCCCGACTTTCTCGAATTCAACCACGTTGGAAGCTGGGTGCGCGTTAAAGAACCCATGGTGGTCAAAATTTCCGGAGCCCTCCACTACGGCGTTCCTCATAATCATGTGGTGGTTTTGGGCCATCCAACCCCACATATCAATCGTCCACGTCAGAAGCGGAAAGCTTCCGGCCGGGATCAACACAATCAAGTGAGACGAAAAAGAATAAAATGGCTTTCGCCTTCTGGTCACCTTAGGGTAATGAATAAGGCATCGTGGGGCTTTCCTAGACGGATATCTAGCACATTCCGACTATACGTGTAACGCCAAGTTAGGTATGAAAAGTCAGGTGAACTCGCACACAACGAAAAAAAAATAAAAGCAGGGCTCAAACTGGTGTTAAACCATAGCTCTCTACGTGGCAGTCAAGCATTTCACCACCTAAACGTCAGCACTTGAAACTTCTGCAGAAAAAAGTTCTCATATAGGCGCTATGTTGGTCTAAAAGAGTCAGGTTAAGAGATGAAGTATTGTGGATCAGTAGTGCAGAACCCCACAATGTGTCACACCATGTGAATAACGTAACGATGCAGGTATATACTTAAAGCGGCCCGCCTATTACAAAGGGTTCACATATGATTCACCAGCATCAGGCACAGCATCAACACAATGTGCAGCTACAAAGGTGCACGCTTCGACTTACAGACGCGTGTTGGGTACTTCGCTACTTCTCAAAAGGTGTCTAAATTATGGCGAACCTGACAGGCTTCGCCATTGGGTCGTCTTGAACGGTTGCACGAGGGATCTTACGGGTCTTCAGCGAAGCAATTGGCATTAGCGAAAGAGAAATTGTGTGAATCGAGTCCCACATACTTTAGGTACGAGTGTAATTAGCACGCGCACGAATACCCCATTCTGTGGCACGTATCTCACGTCTGTCTCTTCAGTTTTCTATATGTTTCCAGAATAATACTTTAAGCATATAAGTAGGATGCGCCAAGCAGAGAAATATTTGTTTAAGTTTTTAACGAAAGCAATGTATACAAACACTGCGCTTTTCTGTTTCTGCTCTTACGAAGACGTTTTTCTCTGTATTGTTCTTGATGTTGACCTCAAATAAGTAAAATAACCATTCGCACAGCAACTAATCATTCGGTAGCAAGAGAAAGCTTTTGTCAATATAGTAAACTAGACCCCCCAATAAAGGCGCTTTGATGGTATTTGATATATGACATTGGCCGGCCGCCACCACTTATAAGATGTCCAGCGTCAGCATTAGAGAATTGTTTTCCTTACGAATATTTCCACCTTATGAAAGCTTTGTGGATTCAGACCCTGGCCGCTAATATACAAAGTTATTGTTCCTTAAGTGCTCTTTATCACCGGTAGACCACCTTTGTTAATATTCTGTACAGTGTCAGAGTTAACAGAAAACAACCTATTGCGAACAATTCCATGGTGAAAGGTTACTTTACAAACATGGCCTGGGCAAGGCTGACCCCACTGCTTTGCAAGCGCTGATTGTGGCGGCTATAACTTGAAAAGTAAAGGGAAACCGCAGGAAACGAGAAAAACTATCGAGGACGACGATAACCGCAGAATGGAGTCGCGTGCACTTACCAGCCTTGTGAAGGTTGTCTTAACTGACGCCCGCTGCCATCTGACAAGCACGCGTGTTTGTGTGCTGTGCACAGAACCCGTTGATGTTATCGCCCCGACGTTTGTTTTGAGGTCCGCCATGCGGCGTCTCTTTGTCACGTGCTCAGTACTTCGACGCGCGCCACAACTGCAGTGTGGCTTGTCAGCTCAGCATTCTGTCTCGCTGCACTTGGCCACAGCTGACCACGAAGCTGTCGTTTTTTGGTTGACAACCGCTCTTCGAACGCTTGGCCAGTCATCGTATCCTAAACACAAGTATCTGAAATGCATTTCGTAGCCTTAGCGTTGTTTCGTACGCATGGCTACATCAGGGCCGGCGCACACTAACGCTTCACTGAAAGCGAGGACTGTTCCAACTCGCATAAAAACTTTGAGCGCGAAAGACGCCGCAGGAGGTAAGCCACACCACCAGCGACCCATTTCCTTTCATCGTTCTGCGTCTTCTGCGCTTACAGTTTTGTATGAGAGTCTGATACCAAATAGCCCACCTATAGCTACTCTGTTCTAGCTTTACCATATGGTACCTTGCTCCAAGTGATGTAGGGATCGCTTCCCAATAATCACAAAAAGCTCCCACGTATACGCTAGGATTTTTCATAACAATAAGTTCGACCCACTCATGAGAATGGTCACAAAATTAACGAAGGCAGCCGGATATAGCAAACCCCCATATATATATATATATATATATATATATATATATATATATATATATATATATATATATATATATATACAACAAACACTTGGCCTTCATTTTTCAAAGCGAGATTACGTGACGTTTTGCCAGACCAAATAAAACTCTATTCCCTCACTCACTCACCTTCCGGCTAAGACATTGGCGTTTCTGCGACCACTTGTTATCACGGGGTTTTCTATCGACATCTTGTGACAACGCGATCACGTAGTGACCTCCCGCATGGGTTTTCTAGGGCAAAATACTGCCACAAAACTCGAACAAACAAAAAAAAATACCTGGCTGTTAACAGCTTTAATTCATTACAGTTACGAGAGGTTTCCTTCAGCTTGTATGCATGACCAAACGTGAGATGCTCCTCTGTTTCCCGACAATGACGATCATCGCACTCTCTGGCATTTCTTCCCACTATGTGCGATGATTTCATTTCAGTAGCGCTTCCATGAGGATGACTTTTATAACTGAATGACAAAACGGGCTGCACTCAACTGAAAGAAGGACTATTTAACAACAACAAGAACACAAGAGGCGTTTTTATGTTCATTGCGTATGCACAAGAGCAATACTGTGCGCACACAAATATATTTTCTACGACCGTCCCAGCAACGAGCCTTTATTTGCATGTATTATCTTGCATCATTTTCCAAGACCTCAATGTGGCAGGGTCAGAGCTGGTGTTCCGCTTTCGTACTTCAGTATTACGTATTCTTGACGTCGTATCCGAGGTTTATCTCACACAGGATTATCCTTGTCTGAGCCCTGTATAGTTTGAGATGAACAAACTCTTATTAGATACCTTCGCTTGGGCTGTAGTGGTTCAACAAGTTCAATTCACGAAGGCTGATCTCCGAATATGGAAGTCACCGCATATTTACGCACGTTTTCGGTTCCTGCGAAATGTTTCTCGCAATTTTCACCTTTTGCCGAAGCATAACTGTTTCACTGACATCGGCGGTGTTGTAAATACCGTCCCTTGCAATCAACACTTTCAATTGATGTGTCGGAATTTCACGACTATACGTTTAACGAATCTTACAGGCATGAATTCTTACATACGTGCTTGTATTTCAAGCGGGATTGGTGCGCCATTTTCTTACAACAATAATTCTCAAACGCAATCAAGGAGTGAATAAATCAAATGAAATCAAATAAACTATTGGTAGAATGAACGTCTCGAGGGCTTCTAAAGCAACTTGGAAGTTTCGTAAAATACCTCTCCCCTCTCACACGCACCTTAGAATTTAGTATAATTCTCCCTTTGACAGTTTTATGGGCTCATTGTTTAGTCTCACTAAGATTCATATTTCGCAAAAAAAAAGAAAAAAAACATTTTATTGAACAGTAGTCACGACTTTCATATTTCTTGTACGGGTTCTCCTTACAACAAATTTTCTTCAGAACCACAAATTTATTCTCTTTATGTGCTACAGAGTAAAATCACTAAATATTTGATAATTTTTATAACCTGCAAAATTACACCACAAAGGCTTAGCTTGGCCCGTACATCCCCATTTTGAAACCATCAGCACAGCTCGCCCGTCTGATTTCATTGCATTGGCGTCATTATTTTTAAACTTCAAGCGTGTCTTTGCGAACCAGACACTTTGAGCGTTTTTATTGTGCAGCCAATAACGTCTCGGTGCGCTCGTGGCTACTTCCTTAACTTGGAATACATAAAAAAGCTGCGTAGGAGGGCATGAGTGATTGAAGAACATGACTGCCTAATCATAACAATAATAACTTGAAAATGCTGTCGTGTACGTCATGAAACCCTTTCCTCCAGTTGTGTGGCACATCCTCGTATACCACGAGCCGGGGTATGCAGCTATGAATAAAACAATAACACAGGACCTAGTGGGTACAAATATCTAAATTAAAATTAGCAGCACCAACACAGAACCCGCCCCACAGAGAAAAGAAAAGACACACACGAGAACTGTGTGTGTCGTTTCTTTTCAGAGATGCTGGTATGAGCCACAGGTAATTCACAGTTTTTAGTGGCGAACTCCTTAGGGTCAGGCAATGTCCCCTGTCCCTCGGCGTAACACGCTTGGCACATAACCGTTTTAGAGTGGATATGTGCCGCAGGGGATGGAGATGGCGGTACTTGGACTCTTCAATAGATCACGCACAGACGGACACGTGGACGGACGGCCAGACAGACTAGCAGATGGACGGATGGATGGACGGGCGCACAGACCGACGCACGGATGGACGTACGAACGGACGGTCAAACGAATGGACGCACGGACGGACGGACAGGTGCATGGACGGACGCATAGACCGACGGACGCACGGGTGGTCACGCGGACGGACAGAAGCAAGAATGAACGGTCGGACAGGCTGAAGGCCGCTTCGCCCCACTCATCATCATTCACTTCGTGGATATGCCGTGATTTTTTTTTTTTTTTTCGTCCAGGAATAAGTTGGGCCGAGTCTGCGCTACGGCGAATAGGAAAACTGAACGCAAAGAAAAAAAAAGTGGTGCAATCGTCAGGTTAATCACCGAGAATCGTTTGTTGAATGTGGAATGAGTGCGGTGAATCTCATCTCCTTGTCATGTGGTAAGTGCTATATTGGACAAACCAGAAGGTGTTTGAATAAGCGACTAATGGATCACAAGGCATCGCTAAAGGCCCACTATTCGTCGAATCTGTGCCTGCATTGCAGGGATTTCAAGTGTGACCCATTACTTCGCGAAACAAAGGTGTTGTCCCGGCACAGAGATAGGACAGTGAGAGAAGTTGCTGAGACTTTTTTACTCAGGAACGATGGGGTCATATATTGGCAATTCAGTCCCAAGAGTACCCATTGAATGTAATCATTATTCATTACGGATGACATGGCTCTCATTGGATTGGAAAATAGCAAAGGTAATACCATTGCTGAAAGTTCCGGGAAAATGATACGTTTTGCATAACATTAGGTCCATTGCTCTAACTTCAAACTGTGTAAAATTGATTGAGAGAATCCTAAACGTTGGAAAATCAAATTTCATCAATGAGAGAGAAATTTTGAATCCATACCAAATTCGCTTCAGATCCGGATGCTCCATATGGCAGGTCCGTATAGACCTCGAAAGTCCCATTAAGTTAGCTAAGTTTTAAGAAAAATATGCTGCGCTTGCCACTCTTGATATTGGAAAAGCATACGACAGCGTTGAGCATATAGTGTTATTAACCAGCTGCGCAACCTTAACTTCCCAAACTATATACCGTCATGGATAGCAGAATTTTTACGCAGTAGAACGTTTTAGTGTTACAAAAGCGGCATCTCGTTTTCTAAATATGTGCAAACAAGAGCTGTCCCGCAAGGGGCCGTCCTTTCCCAGGTGTTGTTTAATATTTTGATGAGCTCCATTCCATGGCATCAGGACGTCCATACATATGTGTAGGCAGACGACACTGCATTTGTTTCATCAGCTGATGACATTTATAAGCCATTCTAAATATTACAGTCATACCTATCAGCCATAGAAACGTGGCTTGATGGTTTACATCTCTATTTATATGTCAAGAAATATTCTGTTTTAACAGTTCCACTGAAAGACCCTATTCACATCTCGCTCTTTTATCATCTGCATCCTATCCATCAAGTAGTGAATGTGAAATATTTTGGGGTGATTTATGACCAATCAGTGTCTTGGAAGACACACATTGAGTATACATTGCAGCAAAGGGGGGTCGCGTGATGGGATTGTTAACCAAAATCAGTAATAGTCGGTTAGGTATGCGGAGAAATACTCTTATCTCAGTGTATTTTATGTACGCTCACCAGGTGCTTGAGTTTAGGTGCGTGTTATACGCTGGGGCACCTGCTTACAAGATACATCCTCTGGTACTCATTAAGAGACAAGCCTTGAGACTATGCTTAGGTCTCCCTAAGTTTGCCGAAACCAAGGTGTGTATCTGGAAGCTTCCCTCCCTTGTTACCCGTTTTAAATTATTAGCTACACAGTGATTTCTCAGGCTGTATCAATCACCGGTAAGGCGCTTAGAAACAGTTTTTGTTGCCTGCCCTTACTTTTTTTTGGACAATACCGGCCGAGGTTTGATACGCCTCAAATTCTGGTTATACAGAGCTTTCTGAATGAATTAGGTGTTAAAATTAATGTTTCTTCCTCAGTACCACTAATAATGCTGTTAAAATACAGTTGATTATATCTCTCCGAAAAATTCAAAAATTAGGTCGCTCAGTTTTTTAGAAGCTATATTAGGAAATTACCTGGCACATACGTCAATACAAGCGATCATAGCGACCGCATGATGCGTCACAAACTGAAGAAAAATGTAGAATTGGTGTTTTTTCTCCAACCCTAGATTGGTCTTTTTCTCTTCGTCTTCTAGACTTTATGCCCATTTTCGAAGAATAATTCTTCGTGATAATTCTAGCTCTCCTTATAATATCGGCACCAGTAAGTTCGGCAGTAATTTTGACAGGTTCACTATCAGCATGTGCCTCTTTTACTGGAAATGAGAACTCGCATCCTCAGAGTGCTTTCAAAGCATTAGTTTCCACGCATCTCAATTTGATCAAAATGATCTGGGTTCCAGGACATAAGGGGCTATTTATGAATGAAATGACAGATGCTCTCGCAAAGTCATCTTTAAATGGGCCTGTTATTGAGGTATTCATCATCATCATCATCATCAGCCTGACTACGTTCACTGCAGAACAATGGTCTCTCCCATGTTCCGTGAGTCAACTCGGTCCTGTGCTTGCTGCTGTCAATTTATACCCGAAACTTCGTAATCTCATCTGCCCACCTAATCTTCTGTCTCTCCCTAACCCGATTGCCTTCTCTGGGAATCCAGTTAGTTACCCTTAATGACCAGTGGTTAGCCTGTCTACGCGCTACATGCCCTGCCCATGTGCATTTCCTCTTCTTCATTTCAACTATATGATATCCTTAACACCTGTTTGTTTCCTAATCCACTCTGCTCCCTTCTTGTCACTTAAGGTTACACCTACCATTTTTCCTTCTATTGCTCGCTGCATCGTCCACAATTTAAGCTTAACTGATCTTTATAAGTCTCCAGGTTTCTCCTCCGTAGCAAAGTACCGGCAAGATGCAGCTGTTATATACCTTCCCCTTGAGGGATAGTGGCAATCAACCTGTCATGATTTGAGAGTGCTTGCCAAATGTGCTCCGCCCCATTCTTATTCTTCCAGTTACTTCGAACTCGTG